AAGGAAGGAAGGAAGGAAGGAAGGAAGGAAGGAAGGAAGGAAGGAAGGAAGGAAGGAAGGAAGGAAGGAAGGGCATACTCAAAAATTATCAATGGAGCCGAGATAGGACTGAAATCAGCCCTTTCTCGAGCCTTTCTTTCACACCCCGCCATTGAAATAAATAGTGCTGGTAACTGTCAGATTGTTCTATACCAACGACGGTTTTTTTTTTTTATATTAATCTGATTTTATGGTTTGAGAGAATTCTGCTAGTCAAGAAATGTGAAAGTTAAAAAGCTTTTAGACTAATCTTATGAGATACAAACCTGTCGCCTAAATCTTGCAGCTACACAAAATGAGTACATTCCAGAACTGCCATTTTCTAACTTGTGTTTGTCACTAGAAGAAGAAAAAAAAAAGACTGATATTTATTTGATCATCAACTAAATGCTGCAGATATTTTTTTATCTTTTCCACCTTAACAAACCAGAAAAGTTCATATTTTCTTTAATAAGTTTTGCTGTATGACTTCTAATAAAAGTGTATACATTTAGGCAAAAAGTGTCTGTGACTGCATATGTGTGTTTGTATATGACATATGACTACAAACCCCAGTTTCCTAAACTATGGCTCATGACTTCTAATGTCGGGGGTCACTGAATTCAGGGGATCTCACGAAGATCCGCCTGCCTCTGCCTCCTGAGTGCTGGGATTAAAGGTGTGCGCCACCAACGCCCAGCGATTTCTATTCTTTTTTGGCTTTTCTAGACAGGGTTTCTCTGTACAGTCCTTGTCCTGACTGTCCTGGAACTTGCTCTGTAGACCAGGCTGGCCTCAAACTCAGCCTTCCAAGATCTGGGGTTAAAGGCATGCACTACAACACCCTGCTCAAGATTTTTTTATGTAGAATGAACAAGCACATATGTTTCATTAGTAATGCAAATTTGCTTTTATCTTCAATAAAAAGTATTAAAATGTTAAAATGACTCTAGAGAGTAGAGATGGCTCTGCAGTTAAGGGAGCCGACTGACCTTGTAGAAGACCTGTCAGATAGTGCGCCACCACCTGTAACCCTGGAAATCCCACTTCCTCTTCTGACCTCCATGGTGGTGTTGGTTATTTTTGTACTTTTTTGGCTCTTTGCTCTTTTGGGGGGCCTGCCACCCAGCTCCCAAATAAATCATACACAGGATCTTATTATTACTTATAAATGCCTGGCTTATTTCTAGTCAGCTTTTCTTAAGTTATCCCATCTATCCTTTGCCTCTGGGCTTTTACCTTTCTCTATTTCTGTATACTTTTACTTCTTACTCTGTGTCTTGTTGTGTAGCTGAATGGCTGGCACCTCAAGTCCTCTTCTCCTTTTCTCATTTCTTAGCTCTCCTCCCACATTTCTCCTCCTCCTCCTCTTTTATTCTTTCTGCCTGCCAACCCTGCCTATCCTTTCTCTTGCCTTGCTATTGGCCGTTCAGCTCTTTATTAGACCAATCAGATGTAGACAGGCAAAGTAACACAGCTTCACAGAGTTAAACAAATACAACATAAAGGAATGCAACACATCTTTGCATCATTAAACAAATATTCCACAGCATAAACAAATGTAACACATCTTAAAATATTCTACAACACCATGGTCATCTGTACACACAGAATATACTCACACCGACACATACACAGTAATAGAAATAAAATATATTTTAAAAGTTTATTTTTTAAAATTGTTTTGTGCTTTTTAGAATTGTGTTCTTTATTACATTTAGTGTGTGTGTGAGTGTGTGTGTGTGGTGTGTATGTGTGTGTTGGCCTATGCACACTGTAGCAGGCATTTGGAGGTCAGAGGACAAATTGCAGAGTCATCTCTTTGCACCAGTTGAGTCCCAGGGATGGAACACATCACTGAATGTCTTGGCATCAAGTGCCTCTACCAGCTGAGCCATCTCACTGGTCCTAAAGAATTAAAATAAATTTCCTTGTGATTTGTTCTCATGAATGTCTGGTTTGTATACCGTTGTATGAACCTCTGCACTTAGAATTGTGTAAATAGTTCTCGGACCAAAGGGGTCACAACTGGGAAAGATTTATCAAGTCCTGCTATGAATAAAATATATTGAGGGGACTGGCAAGATGGCTCAGTAGTAAAAGTGCTTGCCCTTCAGACATAAAGACTTGATTTTAAACCCCAGAACATGTGTAAGGATGGAAGAAGAGAAATAATTCCACAAATGTAGACAGAATTTTCTTTCCCACCCACCAGTCCCCAAATAACTGACATGAGACTCAATGTTAATTATAAATGCTTGGCCAATAGCTCAGGCTTATTAATAACTAGCTCTCAGAACTTAAATTAATCCATTTATATTAATCTATTTTCTGCCATGTGGCATTACCTCTCTTTCATCTTGTACCTCCTCTTTCCTCTCTATATCTTGCTCGACTCCTCTGACTCCACCCCCTTTATCCCAGCATTCTCTCTGCCCCTAAAATCCTGCCTAGCTATCAGCCAATCAGCATTTTATTAACAACGAGAGCAGCACATTTTTACAGTGTACAGAAGGATTACTCCACAGCACACAAAGCTGTCCTCTGATTCCCAACATGCATCCCATGGCACAAATGCACACATATACCACAATAATAAATAACTCTTTAAAATATATTTTAACTGGGCCATATAATGCAATATAGTTATTTGCTTTCTTTGCTATATTGTAAATTTATTTATTGTTAATAATACACTTGTCTCATACTTTAGTGACTACATGTATTCTACTGTATGAATAATTTACTAAGCCAAATCCACTAAAAATAGAAATATGGGCTATTTCTAATTGCTATTTACTATAAAGATATCAATAAACATCTTTTTAGCTAGAACTTTGTGCGTCTCCTCTTTTACTTGCTAAATCAAAGGGCTCTCTACAGTTCACCATATTTTTACATAGCTCATTATATAACATCCTACAAAACATTTAAAAGAGAAGACAGTAATTTACAGCGGAAAAACACATTGTCAACGCGAAAATTACCAGCAAAGTACAAATTAATTTTGTACATTTTCTTATATGAACCATGAAGAAGTTGGCGCATCTTTTCCTGGTTTTCCTACCCAAAAATGCATACCGGTCCTAATCAGAAGGAAATATCAGACAAACCCAAACTGGAGAGTCTGTGTGGTGTAACTGACCTGCACTCTTCAAAATTCTTGTATTTCAAAAGAAAGCAAGTTATTGAAGATCATCACCTGCAATATGAAGTTCAAAATATGTTGTTTGTGCACCGCTCTGGCTCACTTTATGAGGCTCTTCTGTCACAACGCTTTAGGTTGGGCCTTGGCCCTCTCTCCATAGCTGATTGCCTGACTGTTGAACACACTGCCATTCCACTCCTGCAGTTTCTTATCATGCCATGCCCCCTACCCACCCACATCCACCCATCACACCCACCACAACCGACCCCACCCGTAACCACACCCACACCACCCACCCATACCACCCACACCACCCACCCA